AAAATAAAATAAGTATTACAAAATTGCTTTTATATTATCATATCGTATATTAAAAAAGTTATAAGCCATAATAAATTTGAATATTACAAGTTAATAGTAAAACTAATACTACAATAAATAAAAAAGGGTCTCAATCTTCATCTACCGCAAAAATAAAAGATTAAATTAATTAACTTTACAATTACTATTTCTAAATAAATTAATAACAGTCACCAAGGTTTTCATAACAATAATTTGATACATTTATTTAAAAAACTATTTATTTTAATGATCAAAAATTCTTGTTTCAAATTTAATGTTTTTGTTAATAACCCACAAAACAAAGCACGTTAGTTTTTACCGTTTAATTATTTTAAATAAAATTTATGGTAATTAAATAAAACTTAGGCATACAAAAAACATATAAAAATCATTATATTTAAATAATATAATTAAATTTTAATAATTTAATATAAATTTCTGTAATCCTTTTAGTTATAAATTTAAATAAGTTACTTATTTACTTAATTGCTTAATAAGTTACTTAAGTCTTTAATAAGTTTAATTAACTTAATTATTTACTTAATTACTTAATGACTTGCTTAAGTCTTTAATATATACAGCTCTTAAACAAGCTTCAGATATCAAAATACGTTCTTAAAATTTATCAGACATCTTTAACACAGGAACAAAGCTAAAATATTATATATGATAATTTCTTATATTATTTTATTTTGTATGTATTATAATTTCCGCTGGTGAGCATAATATCAAGAAATATATAATTCTCGCTAAGGAAGAAGATATTCTCGTCTTAGCAATTTCTGCTTAGGGGCAAAATATTGCTGTCAGCCAAAATCTAAAGATCGATTTCAACTGATCTTAGCATAACTTGTTAGAATACACAATAATATATTATTAAATAATAAGGACTTAAAATATTTTATGATTTTATGTAAATTATTTTCCATATAAAAAAAGCCGAGAAACAATTTGTCATTGGTCAGTCTTTTTTCTTATAATCTGCACAAGAAAAAAAAACGTTTCATTTTTTTATCAACTCTTGTGGGATCAAGACGAGACATATCACTGAAATTTAGCCACTGAAATAAAGTTCATGCAAGCAGACATTCTCAAACAACCCTTTCAGGAAAAAGGACATTCGGTATATTTGCAGTGTGCATATTTTGCACTTTTGACTTTAGGACTTCAGTATCCATTTGGTAATTGTCATCAGCAAACGTCTTCGGTGATCAAATAAAATATAAAATTAACTGTTTGTGAAACGAACTTCATAAAATTTTATAATTTGTGGTGAAAATCATTTGTTTAATTAACAAATAAATTATTAAAGAATAACGTCAGAATCAATAGTGAGAAAATTAATTTTGCTGAGTATTATTCAATATTTAAACTAAATCAAAATTGTAAGTGTTGAAAGTTATCTTATTTTAATTACAACAATTAAAAAAAAATTTATTAAAATAAATAATTTAAATATTGAAATGTATTCATAATTCATTTGAATAAAATTCAATCGGTGTATTTTAATGAATATTAACGATAGTAACATTTTTTAAAACAATTTTTATACAAGTGGAAAATAATAATTTATTTAAAATATATTTCATAAAGAGGTTTTTTCGAACAGTAGTGAACTACAACATCAAAAATTCATTTTATATTATTTTAATTAATTGAATTTTTGGTTGACCATACAGCTGTTTCGAGTATTACCAAATACCTATCATCAGTGGTCTTGGGTATAATTCTTGTATTGTATTTATTCGTAAATAATTATTTTTGGGACCGCAAGTACCAGGAATCGTACTCGGGTCCTGCCAAATGTGAAGCTCAGAATCAGCGCACCTTCACCAACTGACTCAAAGCCATACTTGAGTTTTTATGTTCTGGACTTTTGTTTTTTTGCTAGGAATATATTTATATATTTTTGGGAATAGCTTTTGAACAAACAACTGTGGTTGATTCAGTATCTTTCAAATCTTAAACTGTGAAAGTTTAAACCCCATTAAGTTATTTAAAGTTATAATTTCTATAATTAGTTTTATTTAATGGTACATATATTTTCAATTACAAAACGTTTATGTATTACATTTATTAATATATATTATAAATAATAATTTTTTATTTTATTTTATATTTTATTTCCGGCTACACGGCTCTACTTGACAGTCCAAATATAGAAACGTTTAATTTTTAAGAAGGTGACCTGTGATCGAAAATATATTATAAATATATTTGTTGAAATGTTACTTTAAATATGAGGATAAATACGATGTTATAAGTTCAGTTATAAGTTGTAATAACTTTATAAGTTATAAGTTAAATACGAATGTTATAAAGTTTTATATTATTTGATAATTGCTCTAATATGACTTTTTAATTTATAATAATTCGGAAGATTAATATATTGTTAATAAAATTTATGAATAAAAAAAAACAAACATATCACTTAATAAAAATATAGTTTAAAGTTTCCTAATTACTTGTTTGATATAATATTAAATAATTTCTAAAAACTTCTATATCACTATTTCTGTGAAGTTTAGTGAACTATAATTTTTTATAAACTTATTAATAACAGATGAGTCCTTTTTTATTTTGATTTATTTTTTTCATTACTTTTAATATTCATAAGTTAGGACAAGGACCTTAACACTTTAAATTTTATTCAAATATTTTTTTATTTTATTTAAACTTAATTTTTTCACAATTTTAATTTAAAAAAGTTTCTAAGCTCGTTCATTGAACTTAAATGAATCCAATATAATTAACCAAAGAATGAAAGAATAATATGTGATATTACAATTTTCTGTTAATAAAAGCATATACTAAAAAACCTTATCATCATCACCCTTTAAGAGTATCAATTACGTCGCCACAGCTTCTGTCCCAGAAGTGTCCTTAGCACTGGAGTGCACTTGAGCACAGTCAGATTAAACGATGAAAGTTGATCTGATGCGGTAATTTTAAAAGTCTAAAAAAATTGTCTGGTTGCATCAACATTTTTTTTTAAATTAAAATTATTGATTAAATAGGAAGTAAATTAAAAAAATTTACGATATTTTTAAGATAAATGAAATAAAACAAAATTGTACGGAATCTGGTAACTTATGTTAGACTAATTTTAGAGTTCAAAGATTTTTTTAATAATTTTATCATTTTTTACAATCGTCTGAATTTTTTTATATACATATACACAATGATTTTATATTCACATAATGTTAAGAATAATAAATGTAAATGAGTTTAATTAATTTTCATATCTTATTCGCCCATATAAAGCTTAATTTTCTTGTAAGAATCGAAGAAATTTCTACAACAACATGACCAAATCATAACAGTTATTTTTCCAATAGCCATAAAAAGGATGATGAACAACTGTATTTTTCTGGAAAAACATTTCTCCATAAATATGAATATATGCTAATATGTATAAAATTTTAGGGGTTTACCTAAATCCATTGTTATTTTTATGTTTCCTTTGTTTTATTCAAAAATTTCCAAATATCAGTAGTAAAATTGATTGCAAGTATGGGTTCAATACTTGCAAGGACACCAAAATACCTGATGTGTCTATGTCCAGGTTTGACCAGAACTAGGGTTAAAATCCACACTTCCTTCTCTACCATTAGCATTGGCCAAATTCTTGCCTTTCTAAATGCCTCTGACTGGTTCTAGCTTGATCTTCTCTCTACTACCCACTATTATGAGGTTTTGTGGATTCAAAACAACTTTTTTATGTAATTGAGGAGGAGTCGTTCCTTCCTCCACCACAATAAACTACTAACTATGGTTTCAATTAATAAATTTTCATACCCATTTAATACAAATATATAATCAATAATTACCATATAGTGACCTTTAACAGTTAGTAACCACTAATTTTATGTGAAAAATAATTAAGTATTTAATTAATATCATTATTATCAAAAAAATAACATATTTAAATAATAATAATTATTAATTGCTTTTTTTTAGTATATGTTTTATATTAGAAGTTAAAATACTACGTTTACAAAATATCTTATTTAAACCAAATAATTTTTTATATTTTTGTATAAATATTATATACAAATTCCACTAATCGTGACTTCAATATTTACACAAAATTAGTTTAATTATTTTTTCGTACAGTTGTTATTGACCATAACTTCTTAATAAGAAGTTATTAAACAAACATCATCAATTGTCATTAAAAAAACCTATTCCCTAGTAGAATTATTGATAAAAGTCATTTGGGTTGCAATGCTAGTTAGGTGGGAGCCAAAATTTTCTCTCAGTTTCTCAGTCTCTACTATTTTTTGCTTATAACCACAGTTATAATGTACATATATAAATGTCGTCAGAACGTTATGAATAAAAATAGAGCAACTCATGTGAATAATAACAGTTGACTTTAACCGTAGAAGCCTTGTCTGACGCATCTCAACGTATTATAGTTCCAACAATTTAGTAATGGATTAAAAATAAAAACCCCCCTATAGAGATTGTAGTTTTTGGTCTTAATTATAAAATTTATAAATATTTCGATTTAAGCAAATTCAAACATTAATTTTTCAATAAATCAATAAATATCATTACAAAACACGTTGGTTAAATAGGGCCATATCATATATTTTATTTAAAAGTATTAACAACATGTTAATACTTTTACCTTACAATAGCATTATAAGGTATAAGGCATAATACTAACACTATATTATTAACAAGACCATCTTCTATGATCATCTCCGGGAACTGAAAATTTATAAGAAGATTTAGTTTATAAAAAACATTAAAATTAAACATTTGTATATAATATTAATATTAAAATAATTAATTTAATTTAATTATTTATATTATTTAATAAAAATATATGAAATTATTCAATAATTTTTATTTACTGAACACATTTATTTTATTTTTTTTACAGAATTGATTGTCGTTATTCTTGGTTGGTATTTATACCATAATATATATTAGTATAAACTAAGAGATAGAATAGATTATGCAAAGAAATGGCGTTGGATATTTTAATCGTTGGATTAATTTTACTTTCACTTGGCATAAATATCTTGGCTCTCGGTGCATTTTGGATAACTCCATCTTTACGAACATTATCAAATCGTTTCACTATAAATCTGTTATGTATCAATACATTGGGCTCTATAATTTTGTTGCACAACTTATTGATAAGTAACAATATGGAACTTAAAGTTACACTTAATCAGAATTACTTCGCTGATTTAAACTTTGGAATATATCAACAGTATGAAGCTATGATACATCAAGATAATGTGATGCTTAATAACAGCCTACCGTTCAATGAATATAACAAGCAAATAAAAAATATTGATAAACTACTTAAACTAAATGAAACTATTTCGGAGAGATATTTTAAAAATTGGATGAATGAAAATCTAGATATAATAAATTGGAATGATGTCCCTGTCTATATACAGCATTGGTCATTGGATGTATGTGCTGCTTTAGGATCGCTAGCGTTTTTGTTAATTGTTAGTAATATATGGTGTGCAATAACAGGTAAGAATCAATCCCATTTTAATTTTTTTATATAAATATTAATATAATAACTAGAGGCAAATATAAGTTAGATTCATCCGTCAGGCCGTAAGCTAGGTGTACACCTATTGGTTCGGAGCGATACCAGATAGAGCTCAACGTCTATGTTGATTTTTTAGTACATATTTTTAAAAACATACGAAGTTCTTATAGCTGTATTCCTAAGCCAAAGGTAACAAACCTATTTTAGCCGTTTCAAAGGCTATTTTAGGCTTTTCAAAGACCATTTTAGGCTTTTTAAAGCTTATTTTTAAACGGAATTTTAGTGGGACTTGAAACCTATGTGCCGCAGCTATCAAGGCTGTCTGAAGTGAAATAAAAATATTTATTTAATTTTAGTTGATATTAAAATATTTTTAAATAAAACAAATTCAAAAAGTTTAAAAACTGTTTATATAAATAATGTTTTATAGAAAAAAAAAATTTGATATAAGAAACATTTTTAGAAATAATTGTTTATTTTAGGTTTAAATACATAAATTTGTTGTTTATGTCACTGGACTTAGTTTAATATTAGTCAATTATTGTCAATTAAATAAGAACTTGTATATACCTATTATCGCTTGTTAGCAGAGTGCGTGTGTATTAGAACTACGACCACAGGCTGTACTATCTACTAAGGTCTGGTCAAAAAATGCGTTTTAAAAGACCTGTTTGGTGGTTCTGTCCCAAAAATAGAGTTTTAAGCACTACTTAGATTTACAAAAAAACTTACTACGATATCCACATAAAGATTTGGTATGTGGTTCCAATGTGGTTTCATTACTAACCACAAGTTTTATGCGGAGCTTGCCGCTAGCTATATTAACATTAGTCCAACATATATATATATATATATATATATATATACAAAACTAGTAATAACAGTGCGTAGATAGGATTGTGCAAAGGGGGATATAATATAAAATATTTTTTAGCAGTGTTTTTACAGTATATTATCTGTTTATTATATTACCAAAGCAAGTACTTATCCTCTCATCAAATCCTGGATACGTCGCTGAGTAATATGTTTATTTTTAATAACAGAATCTTTAATTTTGTTTATATTTATTATATATAATAATATACCTCAATTCCTGATACTTGCAGTCTCCAAAAATTATTTACGAATAATTAAATACAAGAAATAATGCCTAGACCACTGACGATCGGTATTTGGCAATACTCGAAACATGGTTGAATTTTTGTTGTTGTATTGTTGTTATTGTAGTACATTACGTTTTGAAACCTCTCTATAATATATAATAATATAAAATATATACATATAATATATAATATATATTTTAACATATTTTTAAATCTTTAATTTCTATTATAGATCCACTGCGCTACAAAGGCCGCATCACTGGAGATCGTGTTTCGAAATGTATTGCATTTACTTGGATCTTAAGTGCCATTATTGCTGTAGTTTCGTACTTTACAGCAACTCCCTTTAAATATAATTTATTTAGAGATTATATATATACTAATTTTAATTTAGAATTATTTACGTTTAATATCGATCTTAGTAAAATATATACTGTGACTTATTTTTTTAGCATTAGTCTTTTACCATTTATCTTCATAAGCTATATGTGCTGGAAAGTTAGTTATGAAGCACGCAATAATGATTTGCGGATAAGAAAAACAAGTGCTACTCTCCCAGTACGGCGTGGATCAAATTCCAATATAGCAAAATACCAACATAAAGTGGGTCCACCACATATACATAGTTCATTTATAAATAAAAATTTTATATTGAATTGTACATTAAAACACAAGATAAATAAAAAGGAAGTAGTATCTAAAAGATATGTAAATATCAGGAGAATTTCAACTCGAAAATTACGCGGTTCTATAAGATGTAAACAAAATGTCAATGTTAAGAGCAATAAACATCATGATAACCAAAACAAATATTCTTTGATTAGAATATCAAATGCATCTTTATATAAAATTAAAAAAAAATCACAAATCACAAAGCTACGATCACCATCGAATATACAAAAGTTGAAAAGACTTATTCCTTGCTTATACGAAAAAAGACTACCCGTTGCTATTCACCTTCAAAATATGCAGTTAAAGTCGCAGTTTACGAATTGTACATACTTCCCAAACTTAAAGCAAGTAAAACCTTTAAATAAATCGGAAAAATTACTTATAACAAAGGGTTTTGTTTTTAGCCCTTCTTCAAACCATCGTTTTAGGAATAACTACTTACCATTGAAATGCTGTAAAGCTTCACGTAGTAGCATTATTAGTATTCTAGCGGTATTTATATTTTTTTCATCATTTTTTCTATATGGATGCTTTTTGGTTCTACAAAACTTAATTCATATAGATATATGTCATATCCGTTTGTTCTGTAAACTACAGATTCTATTTGTATTATTTGGTCATATTTCTTCTCCTCTTATCTTTGCTTATCGCACTAAGCGAGTCCGAAGTAGTATTAACAAGATTTTAAAATTTCATTACTTATATCATGGAAAGTCTTTAAAATATAACTTCAATTATAGTTCCAAAAATACAGAGTATTTAAAATTCGCTAAAAAACTATATACAAAGTGCTATTACTTCCATAAAAAGCATAGCTCTACCAGCTCTCCGAAAGCAAGAAGAAACAGTTACCAGTTCTTGAGCAAATTTCCTTAGCATGTTGTTTTTAATTATTATATTTTTTCTATGACGATGAGTCTCTTTTCGAATAAAAAAGCAGATGATAGTGATGATTTTAATGTTGTTATGCATTATTTATAAATGTATTATTTAAAAAATGATACTACTATAAAAATTAAAAAAATATTTGCTATTATTTGGTAGAAATATTCGTTGACTCTCCAAGAATACAGATCTAGAATTAAGTGAAGTGAGCTTCCTTTTTGTTCCTAAATATGTTGAAAAAGGTGAACTGATTTGTGATACAGTCTTAGTATTAGAAATATTAGAGTTAGAATTGACTGAATTGGCCATATTTTTATATGCTAATTCCTAGCTGATAACTTGTTTACTCGTAATATGAATTATACTGATCATATGACTGAAGATAATGGTAATAGATTAATTAATCTAATTAAGCTTACATAAATCTTTATACAGCTATGTTTTTATATATTAAATTTGTTGTATATATATGTTATATATATATATATATATATATATGTTAATTATATGTCAATTTTTTTATCTATTACATATTTTCTATTATATTGTTGACAATAATAATAATAATATTAGAAGAACAAGCGTCATAAGTTTTATGAGTCAAATAATAGAAGTAGTCAACTTTGTGTTTATTTTTTTTATATAAAAAAATGTCAAAAACTTTCCTTATAGAATATATATTTATACCAAAGTATTTAAACATGTAACTATAAGTTTAATACATTTATCTTTAAAAATAGTTATAATTCGATAAACGAATATTATTTTTAAAACCAATATATGATGTTTTTATACAATGTTATTACACAATAAATATTACACAATATACAATAGAAATTTTTGTGTTTATCTGAATATTTTCGAAAATTTATTCTTCTACAACATGTACTGCAAACAACCCACGACTAGAAATTTACTTGGAGGCGTTATGGCTAAAAACTAAATTGACTTATTTTTAATTTTTTGATGCAGAACTAATATAACTATTAATTAACTAGAGTTCCTTATTTCAGTGGTAATTTTAAAAGATTTACATCATATGTGCAATGAACAGACACGTAGCATGGAGGGAAGAAAACGCTAAAGTAAATCAAGTAAGGACTATATGCATATATATATATGCATATATATATATATATTCATATAATCATTTACAATATATCATAACTATTTAATAATAAAAATTTATTAAATATTCAGAATTTTTTAAATACTGAAATTATCAGGTGTAAGAACTTGGAAAATTAAGAGAAAAGTTACATATATAAATATGTAACTTTTATAATACATTATAATACATATAATACATTTTTATAATACATTTTATATGTATTATAAATACATATAAAAAAAATGTAAAATGTTTATAAAGCGTAAGTGGAGACAGAATCCGTTAAGAGTGAGAGTGGGTGATATGGTGATAAACTGGGAGGATAGCGTTAAATATCTCGGCATCACGTTGGACAAACGATTCACATGGCTTAAACATGTACAACTGAAAAGAATTAGCTGTGCCAAAATTCTTCATCACCTCCAACCGCTATTTAGAAATGAAAACTTCAATGCTAAGAATAGGAAACTGATATATAACCAAATAATTCGTCCGTCACTTCTATATGGTTGTGTAGCGTTTAGCAAAGCTTCAAACACTAATATTTACCAGTTAGTAATTGCATAAAACCAGACTCTGAGAAGACTTTTTAAAGTTCCTTGGTACATTAGGACGAATGACATCCTCAGGGACTTCAAGATTGATCCCATCAAAAAATACATAAAGGATAGAGCCCTGAAATTATTTGCGAAATCTGACAGACTTAATAACACCGCATTATCAAATCTCAGAATGGTTACAGGCTCTTCGTGGAGGTACGCAGATCTGAGGTCAATTATTGCTTAGTCTGATGAAGTAATTAACAATAATACAGTTAAGGCGCAAAGAGGGGTTTTGAAGAAACCTCGCAGTTAATAGAGAGTAAAAGTGCTCAGGTGCACTGACTCAATTAGCCTCAACATAATAAATGGAATCGATAAAATATATCTGTAAAATCTGCTTTTCCAATTCATGAATTCTTCATTATCTTCTTCAATCTCAATATATAATAATATAATATTATATATAATATATATAATATATAATATATAATATATAATATATATAAAGTATATCTTTGATTAAATCTTTTTTTATGTATTCTTGTGTTGCGCTTGGTATTGCGTTCTTATATTTCTACCCATTGTTGCCGTTCAAGCAATTCTCTCATATTTTTTGTTGGACGTTTTTGTATCTCTATAAGAACATATACATTTATCTCTAATGTTAAGTTTAAGCTGCTCCAAAAATGATTGAGAAATTCAAGAAGAATTAAATTCTATATTGCAGGTTTGATTATTTACACGCATATTACTCTGTATTATAAATGGAAGTCATTAAGTCATTGAGAATAATTAATGATTACATCCTACTAATCCATCCTACTAATCAATTAAAATGCAACATCAACAATATGCATTAAATGTATAAATATTGAATGTATTCATAAGGAATGCAAGTACATTAAGATTAAAATTATTTAAAATAGTAATGCAAACGCATAATCTTAATGTAATAATCCATTTTCCATTATAGTATCTCTACTTGCATACGTACTAACATAGACTAAAGTGTGAAATGAATAACTCGAATAGTATTGGAAAAAAATCTTTTACTTATTATCTTATATTCCTTTTACATTTTTTCACACATCAACATGTCAGAACTCAACAGAGTAGCCAGGTCAATGGCGACACAACTTATATACTTCGAATCTTGAACTTTATACATGATCTATAGGAACAAAAAGGATATATTTAAAATAAAGAAGCGCCTGCTCTTTCGCAACTTATGTAGAGTTTTTTTTATTTTATTCCTCACTTTAATGCCTTGAGATACGTCCCTTTTTATTCCAATATTTCTAGTTCTACCGTTCAAAATGAAAAAAAAAATGTTAATGTTCTGTACTTGTAATAAATACTAAGATTTTTTTCTTTATTTTTAAAATAGGTTATATTAATACCAAGATCTGCATGCTAATTCAAGATTAAGCATGCGCTCATAAAAAGGTTCGCCATTGCTTTACTTATCCACATCCAAGAAATGCCATAAGCTATGCTTTAACAAAAAAAGTTGACAGTTTGAACTTTTGTTATGGGAAATCTTAAATGAACTGTAAGAGTCGCAAAGAATTGTGTAGTTGTGGTTTTTAACTACGTGGGGCACAAATCTGGTATTAAGATTATGTTAGAAGCTACATTTAAGGAGGATTTGAAATTCGTATGAAAACATTGAATCGAATTATATCTGTAATATCTGCTTTAAAATAATCTAAAATATTTTAAAGACGTTTAATTTTCAAAACTCTGGCATTGGCACTCACCCTCAGAGCATACGAAGCAAATTAAATCTCCATTATCACGGTTCCTGTCTTGTGCAATATACCATATTTTGACCTTTATATTTAAAGTCAATGGAAATGTGATTGTGTTGTAATATGGAAATCAAGTACCTTTAATCAATTATGTGTGTGTAAACTTAATATCTGAGTAGAACGTTGAGTCTTAATATACGATTTAATATCTGTCAGCTGTGGTGTAGTATTTTCAGCATAAAGAAGGTAGTGTTCGGATGCGAGTGGAAATATGATATAACAACAAAAATTAATAACTGATTTAACTTTTATTTATTTTTTTAACAATTATATTTGAAATTTAGTGTATCGTCTACGAAAATTACATTCAATGAGGTACTATAAGCAACTTAGCCAATTCGATATGCAGTTTACGAATTGAATTAAAACGTTATCGTTCTGTTGATCATTATATTATTAAATTCACTTTATTATTGTATGACGTTTTTAATTTTTTTTTTTTTATATTTAATGTAGATATTAATGTTAAAGCAATAACTTATAAATATAAATCAAATATGTGCAAATACAAGTACATTTCAAATGTACAAAGTCAACATTGTTTAAATTTTACACATGAAAGATAGTTTGTGCCTCTTTAAGCAAACATCAAATATAATTTTAAACGCATAATCAACTACAACAATTATAGTAATAAATTAATAATAATTTATTAATATTTAAACGTTTTAACAATAATAATTAATCTACAACCAACTATTGACATGAAATTTGGTTGTTTACAGTATGTATATTAATTAATTACTGAGATCCTCAGTAAGAAGAAACATGCAAAAAGTATAGTTCTAGTATATTTTAATCCTGAAATTATGCTTAACAAATAAATAGATTTTGCAAACAATTTTGTTCTTGTTTTGTTCTGTTTTTAGATAACATTAAAAATAAAAGATACATTATTTAATAAGCGTGATTTGCAACAAAGAGTGTGGCATCGGCACCAGCTCCAACAACGGATCCAGCAACATATTTACCAACAGCTGCTTCACCATTACCCTAGAAAGATAATTAATAGTAAATTAATAAATATTTAAAAAGCTTTTAAATAAAAATGGTGAATTTAATTTTTGAAAGTGTATTTTGTTTTTGTCAATATTACTTTACCTTATGACAGTCCAAAAAAAGTACTTAAGGATTAAATTTAATTTTCTCTTACACGGAACTAATTAATATTTTAATTAGTATGGATTGACCAATTTAAAAATGTAATGTGTATAACTAAATCTAATTTTGATTATAAACTAAACATTACAGAAGTATATACTAAAGATATAAAAATATCTTAAAAGTGTGTTTAAAAGTATTCTAAAAGTTTGTAAGTAGCCTAAAAATTTAAGGTCAGTCTTGTTACGTATCTTTAAACTTGTCAGCGATTATTTTGTTACTTAGTACTAATATCTATATTGTCATTTTTTGTTATTCACAAATATAATTTCTACAGATTATGCAAATATTTAAAATAAACAAAGCATTAACAAAACTACATGAATTAAAGTCACATTCTAAACAAATTGATAAAAAAAACATATAATTAGATTAAATAACAATTTTCAACAACTTAATATTAATCTAAATACTTTGTATATTTAAATTAAAGTTTTTTAAAATAATTTTAAATATTAGAAAATTAAATATAAAGTATTTAAATAACAACACGTATAAATTATTTTTTAAAACAGTTCAAATAAAGTGTTTATTGTCAATAAAAATTAAAATTAATTTAGTGATATGCATTGAAAAAACACAAAAACTATTGCAAAATACGTTAAAAAATGATAAATAGTTTTAACGTAAAACGAAATAGTTATGTAAAAGTATACATAGTATTAAAATTAAATTTATAATTTATATATAGAAAGTAAACTAGTAGAAAAAAATGCGTCGCTTGTTTCCTGCAGGTTTGCTGTTGCAGTATGCCAATTCGTTGTATTGTTAGGTATATATATATATATATATATATATATATATATATAAATATATATGTATGTATTTTAATAAGGTTAAAAAAAATTTAATATTTGTGTTGAGCAACAAACAAACTAGCATTGGCGGCGAATGAAGGAATAGAACCAGCTTCGTATTTGCCCTGGCAAGCAAGTGCATTAGCCTGAATAAGAGAAATTTTTATTACAGTAAGTGTGCAGAAGAAATTTTTATTAGATACAATATTAGTAATTAGATACAATATAATAGTAAAATCATGCAATAAATTAATATAATTATATATAATTTTTTAAAAATATATAAATTTAAAAGTAATAACATACATGCACAATATAAAAGTAATAATATAATGGAACTTCCCTAATGGGCACTTCGTAATTATTATTTGGTACAACTTTATGTGAGACCACTTTTAAATGAATAAACAAAAGTTAGCTGACCATAAATGACTGCTCAAAAATATTACCACTGTATTTTGACCAATTTAAAACAATAAAAATAAAACAAAAATATTTTAATAAGATTCTATAAAGTTTTCAAATATTAAGACAACTGTTTTAGAACATATGTAGTTCCAATAAAAAGAGATTTATTTAAGTACATATATATATTTGTAACTTAGTACAATAATACTAAAAATCATCACTGATATGAAATGATACATTTAAAAAGATGTAGTATGGAATTAATATAGGATTTTCAAACATATTTTATTATATTATTTTCATGACTTTTAAAGATGAATATCTGACAAGATTCGAAGTAGCTGTTGAGTCAACTAATAATTTTAGTTAATTTAAAATAAATTATTGTACCCTAAAAAAATTTTTACTATAAGAACCTTTAAGACTCTAATATATATATTTCTTGCTGTTAACAAATTCATGTTTGAATTTTTTTTTGAAGCGATGTAAATTTTTAAAAACATTACATTCAGATATATTTGCTTACAGGAAGTTAAACATAATCTTCAAATAAAAAAGAATAATAATTATTTAGATTCAAATTATAAGGCAATCGCTATAGATAACATAAGTAGAACGGATACCAGAAAAGTTTAAAACGTTTCAAAGAACTGAGAGCGTTACTCCTTATGAAAAGGCTAAGTATTTAAATTGATTAAATTGAATTAATAATTATAGTAGTAAAGATTATTCAAAAATATTATAAATAATAATTATAAAGCAATTCCCAGATCTATTTATTTCAAGAACATTTATTTTAATTCTGAGTTTATGTTTATTGATCAGCTAAATTTATTGATGATTTATCATATCATATCAATATATAACTCATATTTCAAGTTATATATTTTTATGTTTTATGTTAATATTTTTATTATCAAATATGATCATATTCCTCTTACGGTTTTTATATTGATTATTAATATTATATTAAAATTTTAAAAAATAATAAAATTACTTTAATTTAAATATAGTATAATTTTTAAGAAATATATTTTTAATTTATTTCCAGTGAATGTTTCTTCATCACAATAATTTTAGATTAATACAGAATAATGTTTAACAAACAAACATATTACTAAGAACAAAAGAACTGAATAATAAACAAAAACAGTCGCAAATGAGTATAGAGTAATTATAATAATAATAGATAGTATAAAAAACATTTTTAATTGTTATCTTAAAAAAAATTATAATAAATAGAAGCAGAATTAAAATAAAAAAAAGCAAAATATAAACACTAAAAATGCAAATAAATAATAAATATATTTTAAAGTTATAAAATCAAAATCCAAAATTAAAAACAATTAAAAAAGAATTTATGCTTCAAATATTGCATGCAAAATTAATTAAAATTACTACTTTTTGTTATACTGTCCACTTTTCTGCAAAAAATACTTAGTTATAGTCATCATTATATCATATATTAATGTTTTTGACTGTAAAAATCAAGTCTCAGGAACCCACTTAAGTTTAAAATGAACAAAAATGTCTGATTATTTTTATTTGTATTGTGTATATATATAAATAAATAAATGACTAATATATTCCACTATAATTTAATACACCCAGTACTTAATTTATAATAATTAATTATTATAAACACAACATACCTTTGCGCGTTTGATCAATTCGTTTTGACCAGATCCAACATTTTCTTTCTTGCCACCCCATGCACGGAGTACTGATGCTTGAAGAGCACGACCGTAAGAGAATGTCAAAGCCCATGGTTTCAACAAAGGAACGTTATTAATAGCATTTAAGTGCACTGAAGCCTCTTCTTCTGATTGACCACCAGAGAGGAAAGTAATGCCTAAATAAACATAAGAATTTGTTAATATGATTCTTTATAGAATTTAAGTATTAACTTACCGGGAACGGCAGCTGGTACTGTGCGGCGGAGAGCTTCAACAGTTGCGAGGGCAACTTGATCTGGTGTGAATTTCTTTGCGCAGGATTGACCGGCTGTAACCATGTTTGGTTTCAATAAAGTACCTTCCAAGTAGACATGATGATCATTCAATGCTTTGTAGACAGCAGCCAATACAGTTTCAGTTACTTTTTGTGCACGATCCAAATCATGTTCACCATCAGGCAAAACTTCAGGTTCAACAATTGGTACAATGCGTTGAGATTGGCAGATTGAAGCATAACGAGCTAAAACATTAGCATTTTCCAAAATTGATTGATATGATGGAGTGTTCTTGCCAATTTTCAAAACGCAGCGCCATTTAGCGAAGTCACAGCCATCCTTCTTGTATTGTGCGCAACGTGCAGCCAAATCATCCAAACCTTTTAAAATAATTAAAATATTTAATTGAATAATAGATATTAAATAAACATATGTTATTTAAAAAGATAATTATTAATAAATATATTTTGAAAAAAATTTAATAATTTATTAGTATGTACCTTGGGTAGTGCACTCATCTTCGGAACCGAACAATGGTACAACACCTTTGTCAACTTTAATACCGGGAATAATACCACGTTTCTTCAACAATTCTACAAATGGAGTGCCATCATCAGCCTTTTGGTAGAGAGTCTCGTGGAACAAAATAACACCAGAAATATTGTCAGCTACTTTAGGATCGGTGGAGAACAAGAGTTGGCGGTATTGACGACGATGTTCTTCTGTATTTTCAACACCAATATCTTGTAAACGTTTACCCATGGTGGAAACAGATTCATCAGCAGCAAGAATGCCTTTGCCTGGGGCAACAATGGCCTTGGCAATACGGCTCAATTCTTCTTGTAATTCCTTTGATGGGTAGTTGAAATAGGTAGTCATTTTGAGATTCGGTGTTTTTTACGAAATCAGCTAAAAGAAAAAAATTTTATAATGAATTAAATTAAAATTAATTAAAAATCTTTTCTAGAAAAATAATAATACTTGTTATTACTTATTTTAAAATTATAATTAGAATTGCAAATGGAGTATAATAAAGAAAAAGGCCTGTTTTGCATTAAACTGGTTCGTTGGTTGGTTTTTGGTTAACTAAATTTTATATTGATTATTAAAATTGATAAATTAAAACTTTATTTAAAATTTACTATGTACTCTATGAATTTTATTTTTACTATTAATAGTAAATGTAGCAAATCCACTTTCACTTATAATATATATACACTATACACGCCCACCGTTTTTCATGACTTTCCTTGGAAATTTTAAAAAATTAGACATGCGTATGAACACGTTTAACAACCGGATACGCATTTCATAATTGATAAGAATTTCAAGAGCTCAGCTTAAATTTCGTCACTACACTTCGTCACTCGAGCAGAATAATTAAAATAATATTTATTTTTGATGGCACTTTCCCATTCTATCAAAAGAAAACAAACGATTGAAATGCACTTCGACCTTCATCGAGGTCTTTCATAGCGTATTTTCACAATACAACAAAACAAAATTAAGATTATATATAATACACACGACTCTTGTATCTATAAGAATTTTTAAAATTAATGTAAATAAATATATATATTATAGTTAACATATAGAAGCATATACTTTGGCATTATTTTCTATAATCAGTTTTTTATAATAATCAGTTCTTAACATTGGGAATCAAGCAATTCGTTCAATTTGAACTTTTCAAAATAAATATTACACAAAAATCACACAATTTAATCTATATTTGCTTTAAAATTTAATAATAGATTAATAGACTTGTATATACAAAAATATATATATATAGATATATGTAAAGATTCAAGTAACTTATTTTTCCAAATAAAAAAATAAAATTAATTAGTTTTAATTTAACTTATATCCTTACGAATTAAACTATATTCAGTATTTTATTTTATTATTTTTTACTTCAATTTTAAACACGTATTGATGAACTTTTACTTTTATTCTAATATTTGCTTTGCTGGGATGGAATGAAAAGTTAAAAATGGGAATTATACATTCCCAGCTAAGTAAATATATATATATATATAAATATATAAATATATAGGTAAAAATGTTATATATATTAAATTCATGCGCCTTAAAGAGAGAGTTATTCAATTTTATGTTATTAGAAAATTTCTCTTTCATTCTCATGAATAGAAACAAACAATAGTTTGAATTCCCCACGTATAAATGACATTGATAAAGGTCAAACTTCAAATGAAACATACATTTTAGATACTTTTGAAATAAAATTCTAAACCACATTATTAGCGGTTAACGAATAATTCTCAATTTAAGATATGTATTTATTTTATTAATTATGAATATCAATTGGAATTTATCAATTGTATATCTTTTATTAATTGTGTTTTCCGGAAATTACAATAATAATAGATATCAATATCACTTGGTAATTAGTATTTTTTGATAAGAACTTTATATGATTTTACTCGCTTTTGTGGTAGAAGTATCTTTATATCTTTCTATTAAAAATATGTTCTTTACACACGTTTGCACTTTAAGAAAAAAAAAACTTGTTCAAATAAAACTTGTAGGACTTGATAACAGCTTTTAACTAATTTAAATTGCTTTCATTTAAAATACATATTTAATTCTTATTCTTTATATCCGTCTAATACTATTAGACGATTAAAACGCAATATAGTATTAATACAATTTTTATCACTGTAACACAAATCTCAAACTATTATATCACAATTTTATTAATTCGAGAAGTATATACAAAGCACTTATTTAACAACAAATTTAATAAAAATAAAACAAATATTTAATTTTAATTTTATATAAAAATTTATAAAAAAAAAAAAATTTTAACTCCAGCACTTTTATAAAAATTACTTTGCTTACCAAATTTAAAATGAATGACGTCCGATCCTTCTTCTCTGGAAGAAACTGTGTGACTCTCCAAAAGAATACGTTTCGTGTTTTTATTCCAACAAAATAGGCTTTCGTGCAAGTTAAAGAGGACGTTTGGAGGTCATTTGCATCATCAAATACTACTTTCATACAATTCTTCTATCAAACCAAATAATTTCATACAAAAGTAGTAAAATTTCAACATATTTAAATACCTTGCTATTTAACATTTAATTTTTTAAAAGGGCCCATCCACGCTAGTAAGAATGTAACATTCTTAAATTTTATTGTATGAAAATACATTTTACTTAACTGATTTAGGTAAATTGAGGGAATAGTATATTATGTCGAAATGGCAGTTAATGTTGGTATTTAGCAGAATTTCGAGTAAGGTAAATAAGATAAAAATTAGGTAAATGAGGTTTTACCGTGATGAAAATGTTAAATAAATGAATTTTAAAACTTTTAACCAAAATTAATATATAAGTGCAATATATTAATAAATAAATATTTACATAAGAGCAGTGCAAAAAATCACTAGAAAATTTTTTCGCACACGGCCTTATTGTTGTAAAAATCGATAATTTAGTAAAATATAATAATTTTATTATCATATTATTATTATTAGTGATTTGAAGTTGTCACAGTTGAAGTGGTTGGGTACATCCCATTAATTGTGTTAATAAGATTAAATATTGGATATATGATAAGATGAACAGTTAAGTATACAATATAAAGTAATACAATAATGGATACAACTTGTAACTATTATTATTATCATTTAGTGTGGGCTATTCGGTCAATTTTTAAAAATTTTTTTTTTTTTAAATGTAGATAATGAAATATGTATACATATTTCATTATAAATATTAATCAAATTTAATAATATGTTTAATATTTCGGCAATTGAAAAAATGTTTTTTAGTCATTAATATAAACGAAATTTATAATAAGTATAGTAATAGTAACAGTCAGCATTAATAAACAGAATCAAAAAATTAGCGTCATTATTAAAGTTAGTTATGTATTAAGATTCTTCACGACGCATACTTAGCATAATAAAGTAATACTTAATTGTGAAAGTATTAATTTACTAAAAGAGTTCTGTGCAATAATACAGAGAAGTTCTTTTTGCGACTCTATTTGCTAATTTTAAAACTACATACTCACAAAACTTAAAAGTCGAAAAATAATAAAAATTACAAGTATATTAAACTTCAGTTTCTATATATGTGTTTAAAGACAATATATATATATACGAGGGTGGTTTGATAAGTCAGTGACTCTTTAAATTTCCCGCGCAGTTACTCCAAATTCAACAGTGTTGCCGTCAGCTGTAATCTACCAGTGGGCAACTTTTTAATTTTGAGGAAGCTACGTCGTTCAACAGGTGGCTAAATCTGGAGAATAGCAGTTCGTATCCCAATTTGGGGATTTTGGCCACAATACTTAATCAGCACACGAAACTCACTTACTTATCAAACCGCCCTCGTATATATATATATTTGTTTAATTTTAAGCTTTATATCGAGCCTACTTTTTAAATGTAGAGGCGGTCTTTTTAAACTGAACGGTTGAGAATTTAATATATCTGAACGTAATTGTTCTTTGTGTAATCGTCATGAAATAGAAACTGTATGTCATTATTAAGCTTTATATCGAGCCTACTTTTTAAATGTAGAGGCGGTCTTTTTAAACTGAACGGTTGAGAATTTAATATATTTGAAAGTGATTGTTCTTTGTTTAATCGTCATGAAATAGAAAATGTATGTCATATTATTGATATAAGTCCGATTATTAAAGAACATAGACGTATTTTTTTTGCAGATAAAACACTTCTATCCAAAGAAGAAGTTAAACTTTTATTAAACGATAGCAATATTTACAACCTGTATAAATTCATGAAAAGCGTTTTAAGTTACGGAAAATAATTATTGAAGAATATATATGAATAATAATGTTAACTGTATGCACCGCTTTTTTGTATGCCAATCTGCACACAACAAATATGTTATTATCAATTCAAAGTGACCACATTGCAAAACTTGCAAGATTGGCTAATTTGACAAAGTAAAAAACATCTTTTTCATGTTCAGCTTTTTGTACTACATCATTTATCGGTAGCTCAGTGAAATGAACTATCCAAATAAAGGCAGGTTCACATTTCTATGCAATTATTAACTTTGGCTGCCAAAGCGGATCAAGATGTTTTACCTTTTCAATATACAAATTGTTTACAAATAATGTTGAACACAAACAAATTATTCAAATGTCAAAAATTACCAAAACAATATTGCCAAGTCAATGAAAATAAATTGACTTTGTTTTTTGGAATCAGCGACTATAATAAAATTTTATCAAAGAAATGTTTATAATATTAAATAAAAGTAATTAAAATTTTAGAAAATACAAATACTTCCAGACTTTATTGCAAATGTTCATTAAATAATGAAAAATATATGCTAAAAGTGATCAATTTTCGGTTAAAAGTTTCCTAATAGCGGTTATTAATTTTTCAATACAAATAAAACGTTTCAATAAAATTATTTTTTATTGAAAATTTCTATATTCATATATTCATTTAAATTCACATATGAAAATATTATCTTATGAAAATACTAAAATGGCAGCCCTGGCGATTTAGTCTCGACTTAGCCACCTCGAAAATATGCTAAGTATCGACACATCAATATATTATCGACACAACTTAGAATTTCCCTAATTTAGAACGCAACTTAGCTTAACTCGCACGCGACCTAAATAAAATTCTATCATTTTTGTAAGTACTGTATATATTTTTTTGAATCAATAATAAATAATAACAATTAATTATATAATTAAACTTTATATTCCATCACATATTATAAGTAATTGTAATTGAATAGGTAAAAACATTTTCACACAGTAAATTTTAAATATATCTAAATTTTATTTTTTATATTTGTTGCATTCATATATGAAAATGTTGAACGTTGCAGCACTATATTATTTTACTTTGTTTTATATGAACTATTCACAATAATGATAGATAAGTGTACAAGTGAAAGATAAGATAAGTGAAAAAAACCTTCTTTGTCACCATATAAAGAATGCGTAGCTCTTTCAGCAACACTAATACTTACCTTCAAAAAAAACCATGAAAAAATTTCATAGTATACTCTTAGCACAAGAAAAAAATACAACCTTGCATTTTAATATAAATTATCAAGCTATAGATAGATCAGTGCATTTAAATCGAAAATTGTCAAATGCAACCCTTAAAAATAAATATCCCACAAGAAAAATCATTAAAATATGAAATATATGTTATATGTTTTATATGTAAAATGTAAACAAACAACAACTGAGCTTTAAACAAAGATACTAAGGAAGTAGGTATTTATTAAAATCTTTGTTTTTATTAATTATCTATGTAGTTTATACATAACAAGTGAATGAATTATTTAATATATCAATTATATATATATTTTTTTTATATATTTAATATATTACTAAGTGAAGTTTATAAAATTTTGTGAAATTTCTATCAGGTGCATAAATGAGGTCATTATAATGTGAACGTTACCTCATTAATATAAACAAGCAAGTGCCTAAATGAGACAGTGAATGTCTCGTTTTCATTGACATAAATTACTTATTGCATGTGAAGGAACTTTTATGTATCAGAAAGTTCTTTAAAAGTTCTAAGAGAGCTTCTGTTTGTATAAATAAATTTCGTTCAATAATATATCACACAAAAAATTATATTTATATATATATTTTATAAATGTATTACATATTCAATGAATAAAAATAAAGATTTCATTAAATTATTACTTTGTCCCTTTGTTTACAGTTCAGTTGTTGTTTCTTTACATTTTACATATAAAACAATAAAAATATTTCAAATTTTGGTAATTTCCCTTGAGGGAAATTTATTTTTAAGTTTTGCATTCGACAGTTTTGGTATAATTTTCTTAATTTTATGTTTAAGTAAGTTAAAAATCATGCAAGCTACTTGTATGGTTAATGAAATTTACTTAGTTAGACTTACTAAGGAAGCAGTAGAAACATATTATTGTTTGTATTAAAGGATATTTCTATTTTGAACAAATATCTTTAATTTTTGTGACTCTATTGTTTAATCAGATGGCCGGAACTAAAGAGAAATTCACTAAATTCCGTAATTACAATTAATTTTTATAGGTTTTTGTATTATATTTTTCTGTTAATATTACAGAAATTATTAACTTAGCAATACATAAAAAATTATTTATGTATTAATATTTTTAAACATTTTAAAAATCTAGAACACAGTTTACTGCAGGGTTATATGCATAAGAAGACAAACATAAAATCTTATTTTTGACAGTTCATTAAAATCGATTTTATACCATATGAGCGAAAATATTGCTTTGCTCTTGTAATATAAAAAATAACATAAGTTTAATATATTAAGCGATATTCATTTCACAACAGAACAAATACAAAAGTTTTCGTAGTAAAAGAAGCAAAAATGGAAAACTTTGGTAGCGAGGTTGGTCAAAAAATGCGGGTAAGAAAATATAATTAAATAATATTAAAAAATAATAGAGAATTACATATCTAATAATATGTACACATTTGTAGAGTGCTGTTAAGGCAAAATTAATAGAACTTGGTACTGGGGGCTCCGCTGGGTATATAGATGACGAGCTGCCTGATTACGTTATGATTATGGTGGCTAACAAAAGATCTAAAGAACAAATGATCGCCGATTTAAATCTTTTTCTTGGTGACCATACAGAATTGTTCGTTACGTGGTTACATGAAGTGCTGCAGAAGTTGCAGGAAGTAACTCTACCTGCCAGTATAGGTAACTGCTGAATTTTATTATATTAACTTAAAAATAATTTTTTTTCTTCAAGCTACTGCAAGAAAACGAAAAAATACGGAAAAAGATGAAATTCAAAACAGAAAAGATAAAAAAGCTAATAAACGTGATAAAAAAAATGCTAAAAAAAGTAATGAAAAATCAACAGAAAAAGCTGCTTCCGTGGAAAAAACTACAGTTGATGAACCTGATGAAATTATAACAATATGTTCAATAACCGATGTATTCGCCGAAGAGTTTCTACAAAAAGCAAAAAAAACAACAGAAGAATCAGCCGATACATTAACTGCAATAAAAAAGAGCAAAAACAAAAACAACGATGACTTGGCAACTAGTTCAAATCACACACAAAAAACAAATGAATTTGATATACCTACTATATCTGAAATATCTTCTACAACAGAAAGTGGTAATAGATCTCGAGAGGATGATCTTGCTGAATTAGCAAAAATCCAACAACAAATATATATCGCAAAAAAACAATTGAAGCAAAGTGGTGAGCTGGACAAAAATCTTGAAAGTGAAGATGAAGATTTCTTAAATTTGAAAGATGAAGATGGTAGCGGTGATGAATTTGCTGAATCTGAAGATTTGGTAAGTAGATATTATTTTCAATATATATGTATTTATATTGTAGTATATGTATTTATATTGTAGCCTCAAAAGTCTACGAGACAAACCAGTCCCATTGTTTTCGAGCAACCAACTGAAAATGTTGAAAACTTGATGGAAACAAACAACTCTCCTGATAAATCACATGTTAGTAAGAAAAATGAAAAACAATGTGTAAGTTTTGATAACTTTAGAAATATGAATAACTACGTAAAAAGTCCAACAAAGCGGAGACCGGTTCACGAGCGCTTGGGTATAGCTTCTCATATCTCTCGAAGTAGAATAACGTCTAATGAACAAAAATTAGTATTCGAAAAAAATATTCAAAATCATTTACAAAAAAATATAGAAATTAATAAATCTAATGAAAGAAAGGATTTCAAAATAATAACAAAACAAAAATCCTCAGATGAGCTTAACAATGCTCGTATTTTTAAATTGGCTTTGCCAGATAATAATAAAGAATCTATGGAAAAATCAACAAATGCATCATCAACGAATTATAAAAATCAACGTATTGGCTCTCGAGTCATAGTTGCACCAGCAAAGTTTAATTTTCAAAATGAAGAAGATGAGATAGAGAAACCAGTCAATTCGGTTATTAAGATAAAGCCACGACCTGTAGTACCAGCAGCTAAACAGGCATGCAAAAATCTTCTTTTACGAGCAATGGCTGATGCACAACGTTCTACAATAACTACAAAATCTACCGGACGTAAAAAGACTGAATCAAAATTAAACGTGCGTTCTAATTCGATTGATAACCGTAATACCAAACTTTTCACAAAATCATATCGTAATAAAATTAAACATAATGCAGCATCAGCTTTTATGAAATCCGCTCAAAATTTTGTTATTGAAGTAAATGGTAAATGGCAGAATACACATTTGAATAGAAAAGAAGGAAGTGAAGACGAATTAAGTTTAGATGAACAATATGAACCAAAATCTACTAGCGATAAGGGTACTATAAATGCAGGTTACATTTACGTGCCTAAAACAATTGCAGATGATGATATTGACTATAAGAGGTGTGAATTTATTTTATAATTATGTTTAAATAAATAAAAATAAGATTAAATATTTTCTTTAGAGATGATTTGAAAGATGATGACTGGAATTATGCACCAACTAGTATGAAGCATTCAAATACGCAATTTGTTGTTACACTTAATGGTAAGCCTAAAATATGTATTTAAAATATAATTTAATTCACATAATTAGAACAGCTAGAAAGATTTTTATATCTCCTTATTGGGTGCGCAATAAATATTGCATTGCATAAAAATTAAATATATATTTTATGCAACAGAAGAACAAGTTCTTTAATAAGTGTTTTTGGTAACGAAAAATTTGTAGAGGCTATTACTTAATGTTAATATTAAGGAATCTAACTCAGTGTTTCTGCATATAGTATTAGTATTAGAACGAACAATAATTAAGATTTTTAAACTAAGAATGTTGATGTTAGTTCGCAATGGCACACAGGATTACAAATCTATAAACATCGAAATAATTATGAAAAAGTATTGAATATGAATTTTAAAAAGTATATATTTGTTGTTTAATGGAAAATGTATGTATATACAAAGGGTTATCCTTTTCGTAGTTTTAATTTGATTATTTAACAATTACTGAGCTTTTTAAAATTGTTAAAACTTACTGCAAAAACGGCAAAAACAGAATTTCCTTAATCATGAGGATCATTTCTCATTTAAAAACTTATCAATTTACTATTGTTTCATATTTTATAAAACAATTGCCATAAAATTTTTGAGATGTTTTCTCAAAGACTTTAAACTTAATTATTTTTTAAAACATCGATCACCGATCATTCATAATATTTGTCCTTCAAATACGATCATTTATTCTGCAGGTATATTTTTCAACGCTTTATAATAGCACTAACGTTAGTGTTCACAAATATTTTTTATAAAATTCATAGTGAGTGAGTTAGTGAGTTACTTAATGTCTACTACATATTTTTTTAGTATTGGGCTGTGAAAAACCAGTAACGATATTCAGATTATTTTATTCAACCGTTGTCAGTTATTTTTGCGTTGTTGCATTGGATTTCGTTCCTGTGACATATGTTAGAATAAGTTGTATACATCTTTAATATATACATATGTTTTTTTATAGTCTAATTATCTGCAACTTTTTTTATTTTTAGATAAAAAGAAAGTCAAAACAAGAGAAGTCAACAAAATAAGAAATCGTTCTTATTCACCTATACCACAAGTATCATCATCAACTGGATCTCGTAGATATGAAGTAACTTCTAGTTCGACTAGTCGACGAGCACGTCGTTCGCGATCGCGTTCACGATCGCAAAGCACTCAAAGACAAAATCGTAAAAACTCACAATCTTATGATGATGATGGAACTGAAGTACTTGAATCGACATCTTCCTGCAACACGCCACCAACATTGAGGCGCACTGAATTAATTGAAACCTATCGGAAGCCACATCAAGTTAATAAACTTATTATTAAAAATGATTCGGAAGACGATATGTATCCAAGAAAAGGTTATGAACCATACGGTGATACAAAGAACAATAGCAGTAATTCAAATAAAATGTCTGACCGTTCAACAACTCCGCCATTACCACCAAAAGTAGGTAACTCAGCAGATGACCAGAAAGATAATGAAGTACAAAGTAATACAGCAGAGGCAAGGAAACATACACTTATAAAATATGATGTTAAGAAAGATGACCGAAATTCAGAAACTCATAAAACTTCTACACGTAGTCGTAAAATTGTAGTTGAGGAAAAGGCGCAATCAACATCTGATTATCTTAATCACGAAGAGTCTCGTAAAATTGTCATACGTAATACAGAAGATAAAAAATATGACAACATACCATCATGTAAGTAAATGTGTATGTAAAAAATCTAAAATTTTAATCAACAATTTTTTTACAGTGAATTCTGTAGCACTTAATATTGCTTCAATAAAAACTAATAAACCAAAGGAACGTTGTAAGTATCATCCTAATTGCACTAAGCAGTTTTGCGAATTTTATCATCCATCTGCGGCTTGTAAAAGTTTCCCGAACTGCAAGTTTGCTGATAAATGCATATACACTCATCCGAAGTGCAAATTTGATGTGTCATGCACAAATGGTGATTGCAATTTCGCACATAGTGGACCAAGAAACTGCAGCTTACAATTAACAGCGCCACCTCTTTGTAAGTCATCATTAATAATACACTTTATTACATTGTTTTTCACTCAATTGAATTTTTTTATATTTAGCTTCACATGTTATTCCTGTTCAAAACTACAAATCGATTTCTGCTCTACCGTCTGCTGTCAGCGCTACAATGTGTAAATTTTATCCTAATTGCTCCAAGGTTGGCTGTACATTTTATCATCCTAAACCGTGTCGTTTTGGTAAAAATTGCATCAATAAACTTGAGTGTAACTTTTATCATCATGAAACTCAGAGCAGCAATAAATTTAAATGGGTTGCTTCTGTTATTTAAAAATGTCTAAATTAACTGCATTAAATAAACTATCTTACTTATGCTTAAGCATATAATGAATAAGTATTGTATTGGTAATATTAAAAAATTTAATATATATACATTTACACATACATATATACAATAATACATACATGTATTTCATATATGTAAGCATATTATTTGTATGAAAATTTTAAATATATAAACATGCCTTTAATATTTATTTCACTATTTATCTTCAAACGGCTACAAGTATAAATTGGCTAACAAATATTTAGAAATACAAACTAATTAAATTGCACTATACCGTTTGCTTGGGCATAAACATTTGACAACGAACTTTATTTATTACGGATTTTAGATAATATGTCTTTTTCAAGCAATTTGTCAATACAGCTTATTTACATGATCTCGAGCATTAATATTGGAAATATTTACATTAAAACATGTAGGAAACATGTAGAAAAAGCATATGTGTAGTTTTTTTTTGTTACTGTAATCAATGTAAAAAAAACTACAACTTTAAACCGTTAAATCAAATCTAGATATTTCGCCAAGAAAGCTATATCGGCATATACTTCAATGAACAAAATTACTCAAAATAGCTGGTTCTGCTGAAATCCGTTGTCAAATCCGTGTACTCGTGAAATAGGAATCACAATGTGATAAAAATTCATGCATAAGAAATTCTAGAAATTCTTTTTCTAAATTTTTTTTTTAATCTGCATAAGTAGTCACTAAATGAAATTACTTCAATTTTTAATAAAGTAAAGATATATTCTTTCTTTATCAGTGAAAGAAACCGTTTTAAAATAGTCGCTATTGTTTAACAGCCTATAGCAATGTAGTTGCTATAATTATCCAACTGGACGAAATGTCACTATATTTTAAAATAATTTTTATACATACAATTTGCATACTTTTTATATTATGGCGATACAAAACATATTTAATATAATTTTCGTAAGGCCTAAATCTATGGCAATATACTATAACTGAAACCCCTAAGCAAAGAACGATTTTAAAATTATTTTAAATAAAAGTTAAAATTATGAAGATCTTGTATTTTTTTTACCGCTTAGATGTAATGCGATCATACTGATTTTTTTTTTAAATAATACAAAATCTTAAATTCAGTGTAAATATAACATAAATAATTTCAGTTCCTTAGCTGTATCTGCAAATGTCAGAGTAAAATTCTTGAGTTACGAAATAAAAATAAATATCTGACTATAATTTTCTATATATCATTTAAAGTTAGTTCATATAAATTTCACTACAATCTCTACTTTTTTATCTGTTACGATATAGTGAAAGTCTACTTATGTGGCGAGAGATATATATTATATATTTCATAGTTCTTATATAATATTGTTTTAAATATCAGTCCTATTATAAATCATTTGTTAAATTGTATTAGTTTTGTGTTGAACAACCAATAGGAACTTCTGTACAAAAATGTTTAAATGAAATATGTTTAAATGAAATATAACAATTAAAAATATAAATATAATAATTTAATTTAAATATTCTGCAGCTGGTTCATGATGTCATTCTAATATAACACAGCATGCGAATTTGTTAATGTGAAACTAAACTTCCAAAGTGTGATTATACAAGTCAAGTACGGCTTTGGGTCAGTTGGCTAATGAACGCTGACTCAGAGCTTCAAATTTAAGTTCAACCCCTGTTACTTGCAGTCTCAAAAAATTATTTACGAATAATTTACTGCAAGAAAAATAATTTCAAGACCACTGATGATGCGTATTTGGCAGTACTCGAAACAGCTGTATGGACAGCCAAAATTCAATTAATTAAAATAATATATAAAGAATTTTCGTTGTTGTTTTCTACTTTTCGAAACTTCTCTACAAAAATGTTTAATGAATTTTGTTTATCTTATACATTAATTTGATTAATTTTTGAGGCGCGGCGCGCTGTTATATTTAAAAAAAAAACAACTTTCGTAACGTATAATAAAATTGTTTATAGAATTATTAAACACATTATGCCATTCTTAAAGAAATAAAAAGAGCACTAAGAAATATTTAGTCTCGTTATCACAATTTAACATTTTCACACCTTTTACTATTCATAATTTATTATATTTATTTAAGTTTTAAAATATATATAATAATCTTAACGAAATAAAATAAAATATGCTGTATATAAAGTTTAAATAAAAAAGATTTATTAAAATTTACGTATTTACAATATTAATATTTGATCATCCATTATACACACAAAATGTTTAAAATACTGCATTTTTTAAAAAACAATACACAATAATTTAAAATTTTAATTGAAAAATTATTTAATTAATTTATAAATAATATATTAGTTTAAAAACAATAATATTTGTTAAAATTTTTATATAAATTATCTAAAATTTTTAGAGAAGTTTACTTAACAGATATATATACTAAGTTAAAAGAAAAATGGGCGGCTTCGTCGTATGAAATAAACATACAAATACAAAATATATTTTCTACATACTATCAATATTTATAATATCTATATATGTATATATATATATAGTAAAAACTAAATAAGCCTTTCTTCTGGTGGTGGTTTAAGCACATTGTCCATTTCCAGCCTTGGGTTGCAATATTCTTGAGCACTTGGGCTATAAGTGCCACGAGTTGCGCGTTTATTTCGGGCCATTATTAAAAATGTGCCCAATAGTGCAGCCCCTATAAGTAGTAATACAACAATTATAGGAATAACTATGATTGCGATGTCAGCAGTTGATGGTCCATCATCTTTTGCAGTTATCTACAAAGAAATAATATGAATGTCCAAAAAATAAATATATATATATATATATATTATCTACCAATAATGAACAGTTCTTTCCAGTAAAACCACCTGTACAGTTGCAGAAATAGTCGGCTTCATCACTACAAGCTTCAACACATGTTCCACCGTTCATACAAATATCAGTAGCTTTTTTACAAGGATCTGTATAATTGCAATATAAGCCACAAAATGAGTCTTGACAGATACATTTAAATGTGCCTGGTAAATTAATACAACGACCAAGACCTCCGCAATACTCAACTCCTGTAGCACATTCGTCTATGTCGATTTCACAATTAACACCTTCGAATCCAATATCAGTACAATTACAAGCATAACTGCCAATAAGATCTATACATTGTCCCTCATTCATGCATGGCTGCGATTCGCACTCATTTATATCAACTTCACACAAGCTTCCAGCATAACCAAGGCTGCATTTGCAAACCGGTGCCTAAATAAATAGAGTATTAAAAAAAAATAATTACTACGCACTAAAAACACATACCAATGGATCTGTTGTCAAGCAAAGACCACCATTTAAACAAGGTGTCACTTCACAGAATGGCTTGTCACAAAACGTTCCTTGTAAACCATCCAAGCACAAGCAAGTGAAATTATTATTTGTAGTTGCATCTAAAAAAAATTCAAATAAAGCAATAATGAATAGAAAGAACATAAAAGATACTTACTGAATCCATCTTTACAAGTAGAACCAGTTTTACAAGGGTAGTTTTCACATGTTACTTGTTTTAACACATCACATTGTGGTCCAGCATATTCCTCAGGACAATCGCAACGAAAATCTGCTATCAGATCAGTGCAGTTACCATTATTATAGCAAGGATGTGATGCGCATTCATCAATATTATTTTCGCAGTTACGACCGTCGTACCCAGGCAAACAATCACAAAAATAATCAGCAACTTTATCAATGCAGGTGGAGTTATTCTCACAAATTGCGGTTAAACATTCATCAATGTCCACCCCACAGTCATCACCTTCATAGCCAGGTTGACAAGTACAGGAGTATTCTTCAGAGGGCGAACTACAATAACCGTTATTTTTGCAATCATTTTGGAAGCATAGAATACAGCCTTCTTCGGGTTTTGTAGAGTTCAAACGGAATTGCGACTGTAGCTGAACTGACACGTTTTCAGTAGGAGGGTACATTTCCGCATTAGAGAAATATGGAAGTAATAGATTGCCAACGCGAGCTTCTCCTAAACATCCTTTAAATTGAGAACCTTGTTGAGATGATACCGTACCACGCGCCTGTCGATTATCTAATTTGGGCATGCCACCCAAATAAACTTGTGCTTCATGGGATATAAGTTCTTGGAATGCCAACTCATCAATATCAGCAGTAAAGGCAGGTGAAGGATCAACCATACTTTCCCAACCCTTCCAGCCACCTTCTAGTTTTCCGTTTTGTACTCTTAAATATATGCGACTCCATTCTAAGTCTGAATTATCTTTTGTAAAACGTTTTGTTTCTCCAAGTTGAGTATGATTTAATTTCCATGTAACTGTAACCTGTCCTTGATTAACACCAATTTCAAAAAAGTTCTCTTTGTTTTCAATATACAGTAGAGTGCCACCAGCACGTGATCGATAAGCCATTTCGACAACAGGTTTGATAGCATTTTTGTATCCGTCATCATCGAAATATATAAATGATAATGGCGACTTTTCGTTACCTTTGAAAGTTATATTTGTTAAACATTCATAACCTCCGTCATCCAAATTTTGACACACACTATTACCAGGACATATAACCAGTTGACAGAATTCAATTTCTTGACAATTCTTGCCTTTATAACCTGTAGGACATATGCAAACATAATCATTCCACGTATTATGACATTCAGCATTATGTTTGCAAGGATTTTTACGACAAAGGTCATCAGAAACTTGACCTTTCAGGACAGATGAACGATCGATTGCCACTGTACCTAGCGGTGGTGGTAATGTTAAGTCTTCTTCTTCAAGAGGATACAATTCAACAATCATAGTTTTAGTTCCATTACTGACTTTAACATCCTGAATAATGCCCTTAAAATACTCTTCCTCTTTCACTGCTATAGTATCATTTCCATCGGACCCCGTAGGCGCTGGTGATGCTGTTGCAGTGGGTGGAGGGCCACCTAGATATAGGACTTGTGCTTCCAATAAACCAGTTGAAGACAACGTTTTTCGAAAATATTCAGTGCCATTCAGTTTTACTTGTACCAATGTTTGGTTGCGCACAACTTCGATAAGATGATTGTAACCATTATCAAGCTTGTTCCCACCAACTGTATATGCTTCTGGTGTATTATTAAATTGCATTTGAACTAACAGTTCTCCACCATGTAATTTAGCAGCAACGTATGAATCACCAATATCATCTAAAAATGTAAAACCTAAAATAAAATATATATATATATTTTTAATATGTAAAATAATTACTTGTGCTTTTAGAAATTTTCTTTCTTGTATCACTGCCTAGATAAAATATTTGACCCGTAGGCTCACGTGTACGAATAAACATAGAAATATCCAATATTGATCTTATGGCTCTACGAGCAACATCATTTGTTTCTACAATCACCGCAGAATGCGTAGTATTTTCATGACCAAAAGTAGCAGCCGTTATATCTGAAATTAGAACAAATATAGTCATTATAGAAATACAAAATAATTTACACAATTGGAATAAATTCAACTTACTATATTTGCATGTATGTCCGAAATGTGGCCTTTGACAAGTGCAAGAGAAAGTATGCCAAAGATCAGTGCATGCGCCATTTGAGTGACAAGGATTAGGATCACATTGTTTAGTTCTAGGACAGCCACTTTGTATATTAGTTAAGGTGGTATTCTTATCAATGCCTTGTTCATGTTCTTCTGGAAAGATCCATTTACCATTTACTACGATATCTTGCATACAGCCTACAAAACTGGAAGGTTGGTGTGTCAAATGTCGTAGATAGGACTTTAAATTAGGTATTGTTCCACCTAAATAAGTGAGCGGAAATGATGGTTGACTACTGTTAGCAGTTTCATAAGAGCCAACAGGAAATATCGCTTGTTCATCATTTGCTGATAAAACTAAATGAGATGTATTTATTGCAACAAATACTTTATGCCAATTGCTATCATTCAATTTTGAACCAATAAAAACACCTTCCCATTTATTTAACAGAGATGAATGCAAATTTAAGCGTCCGTTAATCAGTTCTAATATATAACTAACAGGTTCATTTTGCCCACCAGATGTTCCAAATGCTAGAACTCCATTCGGTAGTGTTGTTTTAAATTGTAAATTAATATCATAACCTTCCTCTCTTTGTGTTTTTACGGTTATTAGACTACTTACTACCATTGATATCGTGGTAGTTTTTTCACATGTATAACCTTGGAAACCGTGTTGGCAAGAGCAATCAAACAAATGTATGGTTTCATTGATCAAGAATGGTTTACAAAAGCCACCATTTAAACATGGCGAGCTAATACAACCCTCTAGGGGTACAGAACAATTTTTACCACCATAATTAGCATCACAATCACAATCGTAATCATTAGTTTGATCTACACAAGTACCATTAACACAAGGATTGTACCTATAAAAGAAAATATTTGAAAATAATATATATTAATGAAAAAGTTTAGTTATTCTATTAAAAATTAAATGAAATTAAATTAATTAGTAAGTAAAAGAGATTTTCAATTTGTAATTATACAGTATTTATTATTACCTTTCACATTCATCAATATTTATTTCGCAGTGTTTTCCTTCAAATCCTGGATCGCAATCACAAGTATATGTACCAATCTTTAAAAGCAAATAAATTATTTAAAAATTATATTTTATAGCAGAATAGGAAAAAAAATTTTACTTACACCATCATTACAAGTACCATGTTTACTGCATGGATTGCTTTCGCACTCATTTATATTTATTTCACAATTTTTGCCAACTATTCCAGGCACGCAAACACATTCGTATCTGTAAAAAGAAATTTATATATATTAAATAAATATAATAAATATTTATTCTCCCAATGGAGTAAATAACTGCGACGTTAAAAAATGATTTGAACTGCAACAAATTCTACCCGAACAGAAAGTATTTCGACTTTTAAATAAAGGCGAGCATGTCCTTTGTTAACAAGTTTTATATAAATTCGGGTTATATATACCCGATTTATATAGAAATGTATAAATCGGGTCGAATGGAGGAATAAAAAGTTTTAAGCTGTTAATCTTTTATACATTAAAACAAAAAACGTTGAGCGGTATAGTGGCACAAAAAATCTTTAGGTGTTTATATCTGAAAGTACCATAAAAAAATAGAGGTCTCAGAATGGAATATTGATAACTTCAGATCTTCAGGTGTTTATATCTGAAAGGACCCTAAAAAAATAGAGGTCTCAGAACGGAATATTGATAACAGCATAATAAGATATGTATGTTAAAAATTATGTATTATGCAGGCTACTTTAAAAGTAAGACAGTCGACGGCTCCAAACTAGTTAAATAAGTTTGGTTTAAGTTTTACTTAGTAACGAACACTCAAACCAAATATCAGATCATGCCATTTTTTAAGCAGAAGAGATGGTACTGAAACTTAGCCATATATCAGAAACTGATATTAGATTTTTAAATGACCAGAGCGACAGTCCACGTCTGTCATAGGCTTGCTCTTAAACGTAAGCTAAGGTAAGGCATTTGGTTGTCTCGCTGCATATGTATTGAATTCGTCAGCTTGTTGTGATGACTAGAAGTTTAAATTTAATATTTACTTGTACTTATTAAGATTTCAGTACAATGATAATATGCTTATCTAACTTACCCACTAGCATTTTGAAATGAAAACGGATAGTTAAAAACATCTGGCAGATCAGTGTTCTTAGCTAAAGTATATAATGTCATATTTGAACGTTCCAAACAATTTCCATTATTTAAGCAAGGATTACTTTCACATTCATTTATATCAACTTCACAGTTTTTGCCCTTAAAACCCGGATAACATTTACATTGATAATCGTTTATTTGATCAATACATTCAGCACCATTTTTACACATATTTGTAGCACATTCATCTATATTTAGCTCGCAAAATTGACCTTCGTAGCCTGTAGATGTGCAATCGCAATGAAAACCACCTAGTTCGTCAATACAACGTCCACCATGTTGGCAAGGTGAAGTCTAAAAAAATTAGTAAATATTATTATTTAATTTATTATTAATTATTAGAATTAGTGTTTAACTTACATATTTATCAGCTCCAGAAACCACACAATCGTCAATATCAGTTTCACAAAATCGGCCAGTCATACCGGGAATACATGTACACGTAAAATTATTTACTAAGTCAATGCAAGTCGAACCAACAGAACATGGATTACTAGCGCACTCATCAATGTCGATGTCACAATTTTGTCCTTTATATCCAGGTTTACAAACACACTCATAGGCATTAATCTATTAGTAAAATTAAATGATCAATAAATTTGTTTCAATTATAATTAAAATACTATTCCATGAAAATATTTTAAAATAATATGATTAATTTAAACATTTTTTAAATTATTACAATACTATTAATTAACAATCGAAAGCCTTTATCTTATATTTATTGATTTTGTTCATCACAACCTTGAATGTTGTGCTGGAAAATTCCATAATCGAACAGAGGGGCATACATAAGGGACTGCGTAATAAACTATGCATTCTTGAATATGCTGATGATCTCTTTTTCATATGTAACCATCACACAGTCATGCAATCACAGATAACACATATCGAAAATGAATGTACAAAAATTGGACTCAATATCAATATTGACAAAACAAAATCCATACGGATCAACGTTAATAATGATCCCTGCACAAGACGTCACACAATTTAAATACTTTGGAAGTATTTTAACCCCAATGGTGGTGCTCTCAACGACGTTGCGAATCGACTCCGTAAAGCTAGATGGGCGTTTGCCAGCCTAAACAAAGTTTGTATAACAAGGGGCTTACAATTAAAAACAAAAATAAAAATCTTTAACGTTTGTGTTAAATCGTACTGTTGTACGGTTTGGAAACACGGTTTGTAACTGAATTATCTACTAATCAGAACAGCTAGCGTTGACAGATCATTTCCTGTCATTTAAAAGAATAACGGCTTTACCCGAAAATTTAATTGACCATGATTGAACTTATATCGAAAAAAAACTCGAAGATTACTTCGACAATTCTTTGGTTAGCAATAGCTTTAATTTCAACGTACGAAGTGGAAGGATGAGATCAATCTTCTAGAGCCAATTGTTTTCTTAAATTTGCCGCTTAGCTCATAAAACTAACAACATGGAGCAATGGTGAAATATCGATAACTCACATGCGGATCGCGGCTAATGTTCGTACGATTCTCGACATGTTTTTAATCTACAACAATTACGCAAATTTTCTTTTGGTGCATTGGTAAAACCACATTATTTTATTTTTACGGTATACCAAATAAATGAATTTAAATTGTTAAATTAATAAAACTAAATTTAACATTATAAGCGAATTTTTATTTTTGTCGTAAACAACTATGAACGTATGTATTTGTTTCTGCGGCCCTCCAATCTGTACAGTGATTTGTATTGACCCGTAATCGCATCTGGTCTGGACAGCCCTGTTTTAGAGCATTAAATCTTTTGTTTTTACATATATTTTCACATTATTGGCTTAGTATTATACAAAAATAGTGCAGTTATTAACACTCACTTGTCTTAAAATCCGATGCTTTCCGTATTTAAAGAAAAACAGCTATTATGGTTTAGTAATTTTAAATTTAAATATACTATTTATAGAACATACCTTATTATGACAAGTAGCACCATTTTGACAAGGATGACTCAGACATTCATCTACATCCGAATCGCAGTGTATGCCAGTGAAACCAGGAGTGCAGTAACACTTATAAGAGCCTTCTTCATTTTTACAAATTCCATTTCCGCATATATTAGGATGTAATAAGCACTCATCCACGTCTTTAATGCAAGTTTGTCCGGTCCAACCAGCTGGACACTTACATTCAAACCCACCATTTCCTAAGTCTGTGCAAATACCACCATTACGACATGGTTGTGAAGCACATGTCGAGCAAACTTTATTTTCTGGACATATGCATTTGTTCTGAGCACACACCATGGGTTCCTGACAGTTATTCAAACTACATGGTTCCAATTTCTCACAGCGTTCACCAGAATAACCAATAGCACAATAACAATGTGTGCCATTTATTGAACAAGTTCCACCATTCAAGCACTTAGCCCCAGCATTACAACCCGCTTGCATATTTGCCAAACCACTATCGATCACTGATTTTTCACAATTATAACCTAAATTTTAGATATTATATATTAGAATTATAATTAATTTATTATTTATGAACAAAGAAAAGTTATATATTTATGATAATGATATATGTAAGCGTGTAATATACTTTATTTACATATTTACAATGTTTAATGATTTTACTATTGCATTTCTACTACTACAAAGTTAAAATGTTTATTGGTGATATGGAAACTGTTCTATTATATAAAATGTATATCCAAACCTGTGTATCCACTAGCACAAATACAAGTATAATTTGATATATTTCCACTACAAGTACCACCATTTAAGCAATTTTCAGCTGGACATGCATTCAATTGGGCAGAACGTGCTTGCTGTACGGTAGGCAAAGGACTAATAGTTGTAGTAGTCGTTGTTGTTGATGTGGGTACACAATGACCAATAGGGCCTGTACTTACACCAATTTTAAAAATATAGCATAATTAAATAAAAAAATATAGCAAATAATTACACTACGGGTAAAGTATAAAAATATTTAGTAAGCATTACTAGTAATTAACTTTATTTTTTATATTATAAATTAAACTTTTTTTCCTATTATATTTATAATACATATATAAATTTACATATAATTTACATCATATTCGTTTATATTGGTAGTTTCATCTGAAGTTATGTTTTAGTATCGAATATAATTAGGTGATTATAAATCTAGAATTTTTAAATACGATGAAATATTTTGGTGACTAAACTTAGTTCTTAATTTTTATCTTTACGTTTACACTGGTTAGACTTTGGTTAGATTTTGTCATACATTCTCATATTTTCGAAAACAGTTCACATCTGCATTCTTAAGCAGATCTGAGACTTAAACCTCGCAGTGTGAGACTTGAACCCACTAAAACCATCTCTTAGGAATGCTTGTGGAAGATTGCAGCCGCGTATCATCTGCATTCGAAGATAAAAATCTTGCCAAAGTCTAGCACGACAAATAAGTTTCGCTAGTAAACTTTATATCAATATTATTAACTTTAATAAGTTGTGAAATAAATATTTCTTTGTCCGAATAAACTAAATGAATAGTATAATATGTTTTTATATCAAAAATATCTGGATTTGTATAATTAGAAAATGATTTGTAACTTTTACATTAGGTCTTTCAAATATTTCATATTCGTCTATGGTAACAAACTTATACAATCTTGTATTATACACAACTGTTAGCTTAAAATCAAAAATATTTTTGATAGCCTATTATTTTTTTCAACAAGTATTAATATATCTTTACTACTTGACTTTAGTAGTGTCAAGACACTGTATAAAGATCAATGTGGTTTAAATTACGTTTGCATAAGATAAAAAAATTATTAAGCTAACCCTATGTTAACATTTTGAATTCTATGACAAACATATATATATAAATTAATATATATTTTTAATATTTAATATGAAATCCTCGTATACATATAAAAAATAATTGTTTGCGTAATTAAGTATTCACCAATGTCGCTTCCAAAGAATAAAGTAAAATAAAATAATTTACATAGTAATAAAATTGACCTCAGCTGATATAATAAAAATAATTCTAAAGTAAACATGGTATAAAAAATATGTTTAACATTTAAAATAAAATAAATTTATTTACATATAAAATTAAAATACATATTTTCATATAATTTATGGTTTATCATAATAATATATCAGCATCACTATCTTTTCAAACGATAAATAAAACTAAACAAATAAAAAGTAAACAAGTCAGCCTTTAAATTAACATTCTAGATATGTTCAAAGGTAAAACTAGCCTATTTAAACTATTTTAATGCAAACTACACTGTTAATTATGTAGCAATGATTTGGATGTATCTGAAATTTTATCTTTTTGTTTGCCTAACATTTCACCTACTTAATTTAAGTTCACATCTTTTTCGCTTTAACCATTCCGGTGATATATAACGTTTACGTTTTGAACCGAAACATTCTACCGTATAACTATGTCCATCGGTGTCAATAATTGAGTTAGTAGACAGGTTCACAGATAGTATAGAAGCTTTTTAAATATACACCAATATAAAAAACAATATTTTAAAATTAAATATATTTAATATATTTACTATATACAAACTATCTACGACCAAAACAATACTAAAATATGTATAATAAAATACCTAAATTATTACTTTTTTACTCAGACAAAACCAAGAATATTATTTTAGTATTTAAGTATTATTACCAAGGTCCAAATACTTTTAAAAATAACGAAAATAAGAACGTTAACTTACCCGCAGTTCCTGGCTTACATACACATTTTCCTGCTACACATTCGGAGTCAATAGGGCATTGTGGACAAGTTGGTTCTTGTTGACAGAGTTCTCCGCTATAACCTTTTGGACATTCACATTGAAAGCCAATATTCTTATTAATACAAGTACCACCATTTAAACAAAGTTGATTTTGGCAACTTATAGGCTTTTCGCAATTTTCACCGCCCCAACCATCATCGCATTTGCATATATATAAACCATAATAATCGAAACAAGCGCCTTTTACACATGGATTCAATTCACATTCATTTTCATTTAGTTGACAAAAAGGTCCCTTAAACCCTGTGCCAGTGCAATCACATGTGAAACCGTTTAATTTATCAATGCAACGTCCATTATTTAAACATGGTTGAGATATACAATCGTCTATATCAGTTTCACAACGTGAACCAGAATAACCTTTCGGACATTCGCATTCAATTTTGGAACTACCCGCTGGTACCACACAAGCACCGTTATTTAAACATGGGTTTGATTGACATAAAGGATGTACATTTATTTCTGTTTCGCAGTGTTTTCCAGTATGGTTTGGTAAGCATAAACACTGATATTCACCACGATTGTCTTCTAAACAGGAACCTGAATTGAGGCATGGGCTCTTACTACATGGGGAACCATTATCCATTTGACAATTTTTGCCAGAATAACGTGGTGTACAACGACATTCATAATTATCTGCATGTGATATGCATAAACCATGCCCCATGCATGGATCATTGTTGCAAAAATTGTCTTGAGCATATAATAATTTGTCTACATCACTACAAGGACCATTGCCTAATGGGCAAGCGCCAAAAACTACATTTTGCACTGTCATTGAGCCATTTAAAAATTGTAGTCCAGGACCATCTAGTAAGCAACCCGAAAATGAGTTACCTAATATGAGTATTGCTGCTTCATTGCCAATATCTTGATTTGTTAAAAATTGACTATTATATGTTGAATTTGCTAAAAATGAAAATTTAATTAATGTTTTTTTTATAAATATTTTGATTAAATATTTAAACTGTACCAAATATTCTAGGAGTACGATCCACGTATAAAAAGAGATTTCCAAACTTATATTTAAATTGAAGCGTATGCCAACGATTATCGAGTAAATTATATGATAATTTAACATCAAGTCTATTATTTGAACCAATGACTGCAGGTCCAGCAAGTGAAACTTGTAAAAAGTCTGTTAAAACTGATATAACAATTGAATTTTTGTTATATTGTTGAGCAAGAATTTCTCCACCTTTGGGACAAAAATAAAAAGTCATATTATATGAGCTTAGACCATAGGTTATTTTTTTGTTTATTTACCTCGACAGGAACGAAAACTGATCGCCGAATGATCCCATATTGGCATTGGCGCTAGCAGTCTAAGATAGGCGGATCCATTGAAATATGCTTCCCTCGCTGTTATTTCAGTACTTGTGACATCTAAAATTTTATAATTATTTAAATAAAATTATTCACGAAATTAATATATTATTTCATTAATTAAAGTAATATTAATTTATATAATATAAATTAATTTTATATAAATTATAAATATAATATTTAATATATATTAAACTTAAATATATATTAATATTTAACATTTAATAGAGTTCTTATTGGCATACAGGTCATAGTAACAAACTTTTGTAATAATGGATCATAGATCGCAACTCTCTAAATATGTCTGCCATTTAGTGGTCTTTGTTTGATATATGGAAGATAATCTGTACCGATATGCATAACTAGACTGTGTTTAATAACATTCTCACTGGGTTCGTTGCGGAACTTTTTGAATACACATAATAGCTGATTATAATCCCTATTAGTTATAATTAATTATTAATAAATATAAACTTATTAAGAAGGTTGTGATTATAATAGAAAATAACAATGCTCTGAGTTCCTAGTGGACCGAAGCACTGATATCATGGTTGCTTTATTTATACTAATAACCGAACAGAACACAGTGAAGGTCAGAATATTTTTGTTTAATGATTTCCGAATATCAGATAGAATAGTAGCGACTATTCTTTTCTTAGCTATTCAGTAATCTGTTGTGATTTGTAAACTTGAAATATATTTTAAAATCTTCAAAGGCAATGACGTTCATATATAGATATAGTTGTATAATAAGTACGGAAATATAATATATATATTATAATAGTAATATAAGATGTGTGTGTCACTGCAATATTGAACTTTAAATATTTTCGAATATCATTGGAACCCCATATTTTTAAGTATTTAGAACATTTTCATTTGTTAATCGTTTCGTAGTGAAAGTCCCTAAGGTTACATTAGGTCTTTCACTTGTTATAGTGGTTCCTTCTCAAGAGTATCATTATATGTGGACCAAAATAAAACCTACATCAAAGCCTATAAAATTATTTGATGATAAAGATGATTATTTAAGTACTTTCGTTTATGCTAATTTTTCTAAAAAGTATGAAGCAACAAAATTGTTTATTCACAACTCAATGACTTTAAAATATAATACCAGTATATGCAGTATTTTTACAACTTCAGTACATATACTCAGTACGTATAATTTAAGTTTATATACTATGGAATGCATAATAATTTTAAATTCAATTAAAATTATTTGCATTAAAATATTTCATTGCGTGTCTCATTTGTTGTTGCCTCAGTTTTAATGAAACATGAATAAAATTAGTTTCTCCAATTTAATTGTTTACAACATTTTTTAATTAGTGTAATAAAAAGAAAATATGTATATAAAAGTGAGTATCGCAACTTTTTTGTAGTCGTTTCGCAAAGTGTAAAAAACTTACTTTAATCGCATTTTATTAAAATAAAATTCTCATAATAGAATGCGCTAAACAAATAAGTAAATAAAAGCAAAAGGTAAAAAGTTACAACCTAAGGCCTTAATCTCTGCAAAGACCTCTGCATTGTCAAGCCCTTTTCGTGTTGAACGTACCCTCATGTACATATGTACGTACACCTCATAGTGTATTATGAGGCCATCGATCAGATTCTTATGGTATTTTTGCTCATATTTATTTATTTTATATACACTTTTATGTTAAATTCTTTTATTCTAAACGAACTACACACCGACCATTTGTATAAGCCTCTTCCCACATATGCGATACTAAACGGTGCTAATAGTTCACATTTTGTATGCTCGAACACATACATACGATTTTAGTCACTTAATTTTTACTTAAATATCTGTTAACTTGCCAGACGGACCTAGTTACGTCAATAATGAAGTAATTGTAATTAAATCATAATTTAAGTTTGCAAATATAGTTAATACATTTCAATTCATTAAGGTTTACTTGGTTTCCATAACTGAAATATTTTGACATACGTTTTAATACTTTTAGACATATTTGGAATAAGGCTTTAAAATTTTAGACGTTTATAGTATATGTATAATATTTATAATAAACAAAATAATTATTTTTATTCAAAAAAATTAAACAATGCTTTTCTAATTAAGTTAATAATAATACAGATTGTCAGGCAGCGATCAGGATAAAATTTGCATCGAGAACTCCGTCGAATATGCTAAGGAAAAAATTGAACAGTGCTGTTTTATGGAATTAGTCTTTTGAAACTAGGAATTGCCTATATTGTAGATACGTATATGGATCTACGGACTAAAGTCTTATTGTGAAATCAAATGCTCGATACATAGCACTCTGTTTTGTAATGACATATGGATATGGATCTACGAACTAAAGTCTTATTGTGAAATCAGATGGTCGATACATAACACTTTGTTTTGTAATGACATTAAAATTGTAATCTTTAAATTTGTTACAGCTTTAGATAACTGTTAAGTGACGGATTCATTTACTAATAGGAAGGCGAATCTAAGCAGCAAAACAAAACTTCATTACTAAACAATTATTAAATGTGCCATTTTGACTAAATACATCACCCTAACAAGACATTTTTATCCCGTTCCATTTGACTTATCACGGAGTATGATACTGTGGTAAATTTTCATAAGCATATCGGAAATCAGTGACTTCCTAACAGAAAACATTTTGGTTTATATGACTTAGACAGATATACACATATTACTATTCGATTATAGTTTTGATTTAAATATAATAAATATCTATATATGTATATATTTTTTTTTTTGAGAAAATCAATTTTGCCATTAAGTTATAACAATATAATGGCAGATTTTCGATAGCACGACATCTTGGCTTCAATCAAATAAATATATACATTTTATTATTCGACTAGAGTTTTAATTTACATAATTTAATCTGTCAATATTTCTTTTTTGATAAAATCACTTCTTGTGATTTAGTTATATCGAAGAAATAACAGATTTCCGATAGAACAACGAGTTTTTGTCCTTAGTTTTAAACCTAATATTAAACAAGTATTATAGCTTAAAAATAATTAGACGCAAAAAAAGTATTATCAGACAGACAGTCCATAAAAAAAGAAGATTGTAAGAACTATATTCACGAAACTCATCTCAAAAGAGAATTATTCAAAACAAAATACTAATAATAATAATAAATAATAAATGATGAAGCTCAAGAAGCAAAGAAAACATTTTTTAAGTGTATTTTCAAATTTATGTACTTCATCACGTATATATATGATATTCTAAGAAAAAATCAGAAAATTTGTATATATAAGTCTTTGATCCATTCGGTTCATACCTATATATGGGTGATATGGATTTTTCACTCATGTCAAACAAATAACTTTTGGTATATAAACGAATAGTATTTCGGAATATAAATGGGTTTGTTAAAATAAACAGTCAGTTGAATTCGGTATAATTACGACCTACTTTATATAGGAGGGGCAATATATAAATATATTAAAATTATGTACATTAAAGATTAATATTAGTTTTCGTTGAGATGCTTATAAGATATACAAAAAATACACTCAAATAAAAAGGTAAAATAAACACTGATAATAAGTATATGTCAACCTAGACTAAATGTTGGTACCTAAACTAAATTAAGTGGTAAAAAATCTTGTAATTAAAACTCAAATTGTTTAATGAATAACAAAACACCTATTAGATATACGTGATAATTTTTAGAAAGACAAATTTATTTTTATAAAGGATAAAGTATCCTAGTTAAGTTTGGAAGAAAATTATTGATGAAGTTAAAACACTTGTCTAGTTCTGATAAAAGATGACTTTTAAGAAAATGATTTTTATTAAGCAGAAACTGACTTTGTGTACTTATAGAATATTTGATTTATCCGTTCTATGATAATTTTATTGAATTTATTATTTTATATTTATTCCTATAAACACCGTTTGTTATAACTTTCTTGGTGAAAGTGTTTGTTTCTCCATATTAATATATAAAGACTTATCCAATTTCTCTACAAGACCCAAACTGTCAATATTCTACGTGAATAAAACAAGATCCTACAAGATCCTAAAGAGTTCCATTCAAAGTACATTTCCGCAATGTTAGAATTTTTTTTTACGAAGTTTGTGATTTATCGATTATCCTCATTATCTTTGTAGTTTTTTAAGCATTATACTAATTTTATAATTTCCAACATAAAACTTTTTAAATTTTTAAAATAATAGATAACATTGGAACATACTTTTTATAAATATACAATCAACAAATAATTATATCCGAAAAGTCTAGAAGTAAAATTCCGTTTGGTACTCTACCAAACAGTACTTAAAAGCTCTTTTCATCTTTAAATATAGTTCTTAAATGATTCATTAATTAATATAATAGATCTATGATGATAATTATTTCATTTCTAATTTTTAATAATGATGAAGGAAATAATAAATATTTAAAATAAAATACCAATTCAATGGTTTAAAAAGCATAACATTTTTGCAATATTTTATGTCGCCTCAACGGTTCAATCGATTGAAATCAATATTTTGTATAGAATGAAAACGTTTGAAAGCAGATATCGACCTTCTTTTGTACTACATTTAGCGAAGGCCAGACCATATTCTGTTTATTTTTCATTGCAATTATTATGCCATTTTTGAAAAAAAAAACATATTCTAATTTTAAAATAACTTCCTGAATAATTTAAACATTAAATTTAAAAATACTATATTTACATACAAGTAATTAATAATATTATTTGTAAACACATAGTTTGAAAACAACTTGATATATATATTAATCAAACTATCTTATAAGGGAGAAAAGGAATATGGTCCATAACATCTTTACAAACAAATACACACAATCTATTTTATTTCGATGTCAGTAGGAAACAGGTTATAAACAGAAAAAAAATATAGTTTCACTTATTAGACCACATATTTAATGCAGTTAAATAATATCTGTATTTAAATCCTATTCCATTAAAAAGATTACACTAATTGAGATTCCTAGTCATATGTATATATCGGCAACCAAGTGCGATGATAAGCTGTCTAAGTTCGATATTCCATAATAGCACTTACTTGTCAGATATAAACAGACACG